TTCAGCAGGGATTATACATAAATGTAGAGATGGGGCCTAGATGTCAAAACTGTATTTCCTCTAAAACCATCACATGGGAGAAATCCTCCCTCTTACAATACAAATCATGTTTATTGATTTTATATCAACAGGTTGTTGCCCAAGTTTTCATAAAAGTGGCCAGCTTCTTAAAGACTAAGGATGTTTGTCCCTGTCTCTCAAATAAAGGCAGGGAAGAAAATTCACATTTTCTTTAGAATCAGAAATTTCTAGTAGACGCATATGCAACTTGCCAGCTGAGCATCAGCAGCAGAGACCATGGAGTTTTCCCGTATCTACTGCTTCAGAACACTAATAAAAATTATTACATTGAAGAAACATTTCAGCAGTCCAAGTGAAAGAAAGCTCTTCAGGATTTTGCTCCCAAAACGGCAGTTTTAAACGCAGCCCACCATAAATGCAGATAATATTTAGATCCGCTGCATTCTGCCCCACCTCTGAGTCCACTGTACAGAAGTCACATTCTCTCTGAAAACTGCACAAGTGATATACTATAGCAGCACAGAATAATATATGGAGGCACATGACAACAGCAACTAACTTGTCAGATTTGGCAACTCAAAACACAATCCATTTTACTATGCTTTTATGGGGAAGCTTGAATTCCTGTTCTCAGAGATCTTAGGAACAGGAACAGTAAGAATCCACTGGGTCTGAAATACTCATTTTATAACTTCAGCTGGCAGAGACATAGGGCAGTGCTCATATTGCCTTACACTGTGAGCCCCACACCCTGAGCAGATTTCCCCAACATTTGCTCCCAGCATAAAACAAAGTAGATACCTCCTCAGACAACCTACCTCCAAGCCAGCAGCAACTCCCCACAGCCAGCTGCATCTTTCTGTAGCTAATGAAATCTTTCCCACTAACAGTTCTTCTGAACCTTACACCAGGTCAGTATTCTAATCTCTATCCACCTCACAGCAAAAATTATGTTCTTAACATGGTGCCCCTAAAGGTAAGCCGAAGACTCCTGTGGCTCTCAGAACATGCTGAGGATACACATGCCTACAGTTCTCT